ACCTCAAGAGTACGGACCGCCTTCTTCAAACACCTCAATGTAAACATCAGCCTCACATCCGGCTACCATCCTCAGTCCAACGGACAGACAGAGCGCCTGAATCAGGAGATCATCCAGTTCCTTCGATCATATTGCCAGCAACGACAACCAGACTGGAGCAGGTACTTGTTTTGGGCGGAATATGCTCAGAATTCCCTCATGAACCCCGCCACAGGGGTGACCCTTTAAATGCATGCTGGGCTTCCAACCGCCCTCGTTCCCCTGGGCTGGCGAGGCCACCGACCACCCTTCAGTCACAGACTGGTTGTGTAACCAGTGTAATCACACACACACACACGGCACCAAGAATATCAAGGCCGACGCTCTCTCGCGTCAAGCGGAGGAGACGTGCTGCTCAGACGTCAATGAAAGTATAATTCCTGAGAACCTCCTCATCGCACCCGTACAGTGGGACATCATGACCGAAGCAAACAACTTGAATCTCCAGAATCCGCCACCGCCTGAAAGCCCTCCCAATCTCACCTATGTTCCTGAATCACTACGAGAGCGTCTATTGACGCAAGTACATGCTCTGCCCAGCTCGGGACACCCTGGAATCGCTGCCACTGCACATCTGCTCCAAAACCGATTCTGGTGGCCCACTCTGTTATCTGATACCACCAAATACGTCCGAAACTGCATTACCTGCAACACTACTAAATCACCCAGACAACTACCAGCAGGCCTGTTACAACCATTGCCCACGCCACAACGGCCTTGGTCTCACATCGCCATTGACTTCATCACCGACCTACCCAACTCTCAAGGTAATACCACTATACTTACGATTATAGACCGATTTTCCAAAGCATGCCGTCTAATTCCCCTGCCTAAACTCCCCACGTCATTTGAAACTGCTGAATTACTGTGCAATCATGTGTTTCGTTTCTATGGTCTGCCTGAGGACATTGTCTCAGACCGGGGTCCCCAGTTCACCTCAAGAGTACGGACCGCCTTCTTTAAACACCTCAATGTAAACATCAGCCTCACATCCGGCTACCATCCTCAGTCCAACGGACAGACAGAGCGCCTGAATCAGGAGATCATCCGGTTCCTTCGATCATATTGCCAGCAACGACAACCAGACTGGAGCAGGTACTTGTTTTGGGCAGAATATGCTCAGAATTCCCGCATGAACCCCGCCACAGGGGTGACTCCCTTTAAGTGCATGCTGGGCTTCCAACCGCCCTTGTTCCCCTGGGCTGGCGAGCCCACCGACCACCCTTCAGTCACAGACTGGTTGTGTAACCAGTGTAATCACACACACACACATATTTAAGCCAAACACTCACTTCAGCTCACTGTGAAGTCTTCCCTGACTTGGATTGTTCTACTACTGTGATTGTCTGCCGCCTGCCTCGACCTCCTGCCCATCCCACGTTCTGTCTCAGCCTAGCCTCCGCTATTGTATCTACTGGTGATTGACCCTGTCTTGTCTGTGTATGCAATAAACGCTGCAAATGGATCCACACTCTGCTGATGATTCGCAACCGTTTTGGTGCTTAAGAAACATTTCTTATTATAATCAAGGTTGGGAAAAAAAAACGTTGAATGTTTAATAACTGTAATATTTTTGTGGAAACCATGATACATTTATTTTGAGGACACTTTGATACATAGAAATTTGAAAAGAACAACATTTATTTGAAATAGAAATCTTTACAGCACTACAAATGTATTTACTATTATTTCTGATCAATTTAATACATCCTTGAGGAATTAAAGAATTTATAGTACAATATAAAAGTATCAGTTTACATCTTACTGCACAGTAGTGTATGTTTGGGTCATTTATAATGATAAAAATCAGTCTAAAATGCAAAGTTATAAATCAGGGACAAAAAATTATATAGGAAATTAATTTTAAAAGTTGGTAGCCCCTAACACCTAAACTTAGTTTCATGTTTAGAAAAAAATGTGTTCTATACTTTGTGGCCTACAATGTTGTTTTCCCTCCTCCATGAAAAACATTATACCTGTTAGCCTCACAGAAATAAGGGCTGTAATGGGAACATACATCTCCAACCAACTTGAAAGAATCGTCTTATTTGTGAACTTATGAGCTCTCATAGATCCAGGACACTGCTTTTCTTTTGAATTATTGGGCTATTTCTTGTTTCTTTGAAGCCAAGTGGTTTGGCTTCAAATCTTCCCTTCAGTGTTGTAATTTGAGAGCTCCCTCTGCTGGTTATTATACCTCATTACTGTATTTTCTATGGCATTCTGTAGAAAACAGACACCCTATTTTTCTAAATATCACTCTGATTAATACCAACATCTTCATAACTCACCATACTGTGTCTGTTGTCCCCAAATCTGCCGTTCAGATTGGCCAGGTGGCAGTTCTTGTACCACCAGGCACCTTGGTGAGTCAGAGCACAGTTACCAAGCGCAATGTCATTGTCTGAATCCACCGTGGAGAAAGACCCTCCCTGGTGGTAGGTCATGGCATCACCTGTGCACAATGTGTTATTAATAACATGACTTTGCTTCATATAACTTTGTTGGCATAATCAGATTACATAATTCAACTCACCGGCATTTCCTTTGTAGTTGCCGATGGTAAGTTTAAACTTCTGTTTGGATGGTGCTAATTTGAAGTTATTGTAGACAGCATATGTCCGCTCTGATCCCAAGCCCAGATCGAAACGCACTTCATATTGTGTAGGAGTATTAGTTAGTTCATGGATCTTCTCCAAGCCTGGTCAACAAAAGCATCAGAGCAGCTCAGATCAATATCTAGTTCAGTATGAAGCAAAGACATGGGTAAGTGAAAGGTTTCAATAAGCGTATAATGTGAACATTTTTTTATTAGATATACCGAGCCAAAATTCATCTGTCAGTTCTCCAAAGCCTTTCATATACTCTCTCCAGCGCCTCATAAAATCAAATTTGCCGGTGTTTCGTCTCTGGAACACCTGTGATTGATACATAGGATAAGCTGTTAGATATAAGCATACTGTATACTGTGGATACAAAATGAATTAATAAAATCAAAACCGTCTACACGACATGGCGGCGGCGGCAACAATACTACAGCGAGAATAAAAGTTACGCCTTCTATCTTTGCGTGAACATTTGGGCGGGGTTATGCAAACCTTCCCACACAGTGACATAGACATGTGGGGGCGTGTTAGAACGAGCCGTTTTAGGTAGGCGTGGTTGACTCTTAACTTTTATAAAGAATATCTCTTTGGATTTGAGACTTTAGTCTTTGCAACTTTACAGATCTTCTTTATGCACCAAGAGCTTGTAACACTTCAAAGAGAAAGGAAAAATTGAAATCGCATCATATGACCCCTTTAATAAATGAAACCTTGCATTTTATGAATTCATCTCAGTATTAAATATTCCACAACAAAAAATAATAATAATCATAATGGCATACTCACGATCCAGCCGCCGCCATCAGTTGTCATGTCACAATACACCTGCATGGTTCTGCTACGGTTGCTGTTGACGTAGATTGTGTAGACGCCACTCTCCATGTTTCCATTTCTCATAATCTGAGTGCAGTCCATTGGGAACGGGTAGGCCAGACCCACTAGAAATAACAGCAATACAATAAATGTATGAGGTTTCTTATTTCAATGAACTTTTATATATTTAATGTTTGGTGAAAATAAGGCTTGGTGATCTGTTGATACACTAGGAGTCTCATAAAGGTGTGAATGAAGGAATACGGTGTTGCATAAATTACCTGTGCTAAAGCTCGTCTCCACTACCCTACTCCTCTTCGTGCCCCTGTAGGCAATAAGGGTGACAATGTACTTTTTCCCCATTGCAAGGTCAGAGAGAGCAAATCTGTTCTCCTGCGCCGTCAAAGTTTTTTCCACAGTCTAAAACAATAAAGCAGAAAGTCAGTGAAACAAACAACAACTCAGTTGGGACAAAATTACAAACGTCTATCAGATACTAACAAACATAAGAGATTTATGAATTAAACAGGTAAAACTTTACAATAACGTGCATTAGCTAGTGCATTGGATATCATATCTAACAATGAAACTTTTTTTTTAAAGAAATTAATACTTTTATTCAGCAAGGATACATTAAATTGACAGTAAAGACATTTATAATGTTTTAAAAAAATGCTGTTCTTTCGACCTTTCTTTTTATCAAAGAATCTTGAAAAATGTATCATGTTTTCCACAAAAATATTTTAACTTTGATAAGAATAAGGAACTTTTCTTGAGCACCAGATCAGCATATTAGAATGATTTCTGAAGGATCACGTGACACTGAAGACTGGAGTAATGGCTGCTAAAAATATATACAATTTTGTTCATGTTGGTTCATAATACATTAATGTTAATTTATACAAATTGTTAAAATGTATTAGTAAACAAAGAAATTAACATTAACCAACATTAATAAATGCCATGAAAGTATTGTTTATTGTTAGTTCATGTTATCTATTGCATGATCTAATCTTAACATATAATACCTTGTAAATTGTTACCAGTAATAGCATACAGAATTGAATTGAATTGAACAGGTTTCAAAATCTGTTAGCATGTAGAGCAAACCTGCATGCTGCCATCTTCAGCCCTGTAGGTCAGGATGTAGCCATCAATATTAGCCTGAGGAGCTTTCCATGTTATAGTGGAGGTTTGAGTCTGGACATCAATGGCTTTGAGATTCTTTGGAGCATCGATCTCTGCAGATCAACAAAAAGTGCTCAGTTGAATGAGGTCGACTGTGTCTGGAAATGATCATGAGAATACAACTCATTCTTAATGAGCTCTTAACAGATGAGAAATGTCTCTGAGCGTTAGCATTCAGTCAGTGTCGAAAAATGATAGATTCTTCCTCTTTAAGCTTTCTGTGCAGAATTAATTCAGTTATCACTATTGCTGAGACAAGACCTTAGCAAAGACCTTCATCATGCTTCATTTGACATATTTAGGCAGTAGGAGAAAGTACGGGCACAGAGCCACGCTGCCTGCTTGAATCAGATAACCTGTCTCAGCCTCAGTTGTGGCTTTTCTGCTTGAGCGAGAGCCTTTCACAGCCCAGACGTAGACTGTGTAGAGAACTCCAGGCTTCAGAGCAGTGAACCTGTAGGAGGTGCTGTCAGCTCCTACTCGAACCTCCTGACCGGAGCCATCTATAGAGCTGTAGCTCAGCATGTAGCCATCAATGTCAGCCTGCACCTTGTCCCACGTCACCAATGCCGAGTCCTCTGTCACCTCCTTGGTCATGAGGTTAGTAGGAGCATCTATATCTAGAAAGCCATTTGTACAACAGGTTAATGCACAACATTGCTGAATTACAGCCATGCAGGTATAGAAAGTGCAGCAGAGGAGATGTAAGAAGATGCATGTAAAGGAATGCATCACTGAACCATGAAGGTAGACAGTTTATCCTTTTCATACTGATACAATTAGCTATAAATCCATAATGCAGAGAGTAAGTCCTATTTTTTCCCATCACAGTTTAACTTAATTTCCCTCTTGGATCAATAAAGTTTTTCTATCTTATCTGATGTTGTTTGCTTCTTTAAAAAGTTGAGCGAAAATTAATGACTTTAATTAATGTAAATTTGGAAATGCTCTGTGCTTATGAAAAGTGCAATTTTCTTAAATTAGAGTTCAGCTTGATTAATGCAGCCAGCAGGTTCTGTTATAATGTTGCAATTCATCACTACACCAAAGGACCAAACAACATGCTGTATAACAGTATTCTTAAAAAAAAAAAAAGTATTTTATGAATACTTCTGGGAATTGTAAAAAAATATATAGAAAGTATCAAAACTGACAAGAAAAAGCACAGATTTTGTATCATTGCCTGCGTTGTTTCATGAGAAAAATGAATAACGGGTCAATGTAGCAACATTTGAATCAACATGTGTATATAATATTTCTCATTTTAATGCTGTTATTGTTTTGTTGTCATTTCAGGAACCTTCTATATGCATTGTTTAGATATGAACTTAGATTGTTCCTGAACAATGACATGACAATGAAGTGATATTCATGATGATTGCAGGGGTCTGCATAAGGCCACTCTGACCAAAATCAATAGATGGTACCAGTGTTGTGGATGAGTAAATCTGTTCCCAGCTTATCACATTCCCAGCTAACAAGGAATGTTCTCCCAACTTTCACAAACATTTTTAAAAAGTTATAAAAATGTTAGGACAAAATGTTCTTAAAGTAATGTTTATGGAATGTTCTTATAACATTATTAATTTTTGATATACATTCTCATAACATTGAAAGAAAACGTTCTTAGAACAACATTTTTAGAACATTCGTATGACGTTATTTGTACTTGCAAAACATTCTCATAATGTCGAGAGAAAATGTTATTAGAATATTAAAACTAAACGTTTGAAAAACGTTCTATTTGGGTAAAAATAAAATTAGTTAAATGTGAGAAACATTTTTCTAACCTTTAAATTATGTTATAATCACAACAAGAAAACTTGACATTTTAACGTTCTTCTTAGAATATTAAAAATAAACGCTCAAATGACATTTTATTTTGGGTGAAAATAAAGTTAGCGGTGTAAGAAATGTTTGTCGCAAACTTAATGTTATAATCACAATTAAAAAAACTGGACATTTCAACGTTTTAGAAACATTTCAAAACAATGTTCCCACAATGTTTTTATAACCTAAATGTGTTACCTCGGATGACACTTATCCGATTGACACTTTCCATTTAAATTGAAGGTTTACACATTAAATGAAGCAGTAACAAAATACAAACACAAAACACAGTAAAATAGGGTCAAAAAGACCATCATGCTCAGACAGTGTAAATTAGCATTTGCACAGATATTGGAGGAAACTTGAGCGATGGGTGAATTATTGTGCAATCAACAGAGATGCTAATACCCTCACATAAAATATTAACATAACATCTGCATTACTACATTACAGACTAACATGTCTGAGGCTAATTAATGCAGCTGCTGTAGCAAACATTATGAAACACTGTCATTTGTAAGTTTAGGCACCAGGGGCCGGTTGCAC